TTATCAGTGAGGGGAAGAAAGAGAGAACAGAAAATATGGAGCATCTTGGAGTCTCACTCCAAAATGAGCCAGGAAGTCTCAATGCTATCCCCAAGAACAAGCTGGGCAGTCATTCATTGGAGGCCTGGTATATGCCAAGTATTTGCCATTCCCTTGGTGTATCTCAGCAAGCTGGTATAACCCCTCCTCTCCAGGCACTGACTGTCAATTCAAAGACACTGAGAAGCAAGTTCTTCCTCACGATTACGTATGCGAAGTGACACAATAGATGTGAGCAAGGGCTTCCCAGAAAAATGGAGCTAGGCAGGTGAACAGTGGAAGAGAGGAATGAACATTTAAAGGCCACCTATTTGGCTTCAGGATAAATTCCAAATTCCTTGGCTTAGAATAGAAGGGCTTTCATGAGTTGGCAACAGCTTTTCGGGTCTCAGTTGTCACCACCATGGCCGACACACTGCACATCCAGCGACAGTGGGTTCCTTGCAGCAGTTAGGATATACATGTTCCCTTTGACTTTTGAGCCATTGCAGATGGTGACCACTTTGTGTGGAATGTCCTCCTCAGACTTCACCCATGAAACCTCATTTATCTTGATTCAGCTCAGATAACACCTTCTCTTGGAAGTCAGCCCTTAACCTGACCACTACTCTCCAGTGTAGTGCGTGAATTAATTTTCTAGGGCTACCATGATCAAATACCACAGAGTGAGTGCTTAAACAATAACGTTTATTTTCTCGTAATTCTGAATACTGAAAGTCTGACACCAGACAGGGTTGGTTCCGTTGAGAAAGAATCTATCCTAGTATTTGTTCTTGACCACTGGTGGCTTTCTGGCAGGCTTGGGCCTGATGCAGCTTAAAAGTATCACTCTGATTTCTGCTTTCATGTTTACATGGAACTCTACCTCTATCCATATCTGTCCCTGTTTTCAAATTTGCTCTTTAATGAAGACACCAGTCATATTGAATTAGGGCTTACTCTAATGACCTCATTTTAATTTGATTACCCCTGTAAACACTGTGTCTCCAAATAAGGTTTTATTTTGAGGTAGCAGGCATTAAGATTCCAACATATACTTCTTGGGAGACACAATTCGATTTATAGCAGTGCCTGTTCTCTGGGGCTTCCATAGGACCCTGCAGTTATCATAGTAATAATCAACCTAATTATAATTGTCTTTAATTGTCGGCCTTTCTCTTCAGGTTGTGAGGTCCATGTGGGCAGGGAGTATGATTTATGCATTATTGTATCCCTAGTACTTGAAACAAAACCAAGAGCATAGTAGGCATACAGTACATATTTGTCACGGTTTAAGTGTTGCTTCTTTGATCAGAGGCCAATTTTTTCACTTGTGCTCTTGCATTTGCAAGGATCCTATCCCTATAGGGATCCTATCCTACATCTCCAACTTCTTCCTCTCTAATAGTAATAAAACATTGTACATTCTTTGCATTGTAAGACTAACACCTTCCCTTGAACTTCATTTGACTGCTTTAATCACATCTATTTGCTATGAGAGCCACGCTTCTCCAAAGTGTTATCTTTCTGTGGCATCTTCTCTTCTTGCCCTCCTTTTCATCTGTGTTACTCTATTATGGCTTCTGCACATATCATTCTACCAAAAGGTCCTCTACTGTGCTTGTCAGTGTCCTGTAGGTTAACTGATACGATGGACTTTTCTGTGTCCTCAGTTTACTCTTCCCCTTGACAATCTTCCTCATAGTTTATCAGGTCCACCTTATTAAAAGATTCTCTTATCTGTATTCACATACTTTCTCTCCTACCTCTCTGTCTTCTCTTCATTTGCTGGCTATTTGTGATGTGCACAATCTCTAACTTCTGGAATTTCGAAAGTTCATTCTGGCCTCTCTTCTCCCTCTAAATTGTTTCTCCATATGCTTTCACCCACATTCATGCATTTAAATGCCACCTACATGCTGATGGATTCTAAATTTATATTTCTGGACCAGTTATCTCTTCCGAGTACCAGATCAGCATATTTAACTATCCACTTGACATCCACTTCCATAGCAGAATATTACTGTACAAAATTGCTATCCTCCTCCCTCTTCTCCAAGTACATACTCAATTCACAAATCAGTAATCAGAAAGGTATTGATGCTTCACTCTATAATCCCTCATCAAACCCTATCAATACCACTTTTTTTTTTTTTTTTTTTTTTTTTTTTTGGTTTTTCTCCAGTACCAGGAACCGAACTCATGACCTTGTGCTTGCCAGGCAGGCGCTTTTGCCGCTGAGCTAAATCCCCAGCCCCTAATACCACTTTTTGATGTCTCAAGCTCAAATCATTTCTCTCCATTTCTACCACTACTTTCCTAGTCCGCACCCCCATGGCCTCTCACCTCTCACCAGGAACAGTAGAGTCACATCCTAATTGTTTTACCAACGTCTATTAGCCTTTCACTTCTACAAGCAACCAGAGCATTCTTAAGGCATAAAATGGATCACGTTACTCAACTAAAAACCACTAAAGAATCCCAATCGCATTGACAAGGAAGTCCCATACACTATCAGGTTCCTGCCTACCATCCCAGCTTCATCTATGATGCTTTCTCTTTTGATTACTATATTCTAACTACCCCAGTCTTTTCTCTGTCCCCTAAACACTCTAAGATATTTATCATCACAGACTTGCTGCTAGCTACTGCCTCTATCAAAATACTACCCCGTCCCATATCATTTTATAATCTGTCTTTGCCTGACTTACTCTTATTGATCTTTCAGGTACCATATCTCTGATATTTCCAACACAACCCAAATCAAGTACCCTTGTTATATGTCCTCTTAGCTTCCTGTACTTTTGCTTTGTAATGCCTATCACAATATTAAACTATTGGGGGATAGACAGCACGCAGGTGGTACTGAAAACCAAGGATGTAATAATAGTTTGACACCAACAAATGGCGTATAACCATTCAGATATTCATGAAACACATTACTCACTGTCTCCTATATGCCAAGCATTCTTCCAGTTACAGATGAAAGAGTGGTAAGCCATTGTGATAATTCCTTAAACCTAGTCCACAGTGAATGCCCAAGAGTATTGAAGAGTAGCATTTGGCTCTGGGTATTGGAAGGGAGAAAACAGGCAAGTCTTCCTGGAGAGGATGATAGTGGAGCTAAGTATTGAAAAAGAAGGGGATTTAGCTAGGTGTTGTGTAAATGTGGTCTGGAGTTTTCAGCCAGAGGGCGTGAATCAGGCTGCACAGGTTGGTGTAGTAAATGATGAGCTGGGGCCTGATGGGAGATGAAACTGGAGAGGGAGGCAGAAGCAGAGTCATAAAAAGCCTTGGATTCCATAATGAGAAGCCTGGACTCTCTTCCTGTGAAGATGGATATCAAATGTCCACTATGGGCAGGGCAGCACAGGCTGGGTATTTGAGGGCACAACTGGAAATGACTTTATGCCTCTGTCCTTGAAAGGTTTACAATATCATGGGAAAATAAGACCTATGCATAAAAAGAGCAGAACTAAACCAAGGCCATCCTGAGCATTTCTGTTTGTTCATATGCTCCACTAAAAGTTTTGTTAGGCCTTCACGTTAGTTTGCTTCCCATTATTATATAATGCTTTTAAACCTAAGGTAAATGAGAACATTGAGATTTTATTTGCAGAGATTCTTTTTATAGATAGTTCTTTCAGGATCTACATATTTTATAAACAATGTGAAAACATAAATTTTGAGCAACTAAGGTCATCAGACTATAATATCGTCATGCTTGGAATCTGTACACATTGCTTATTATTCTATTCTTAGCACCTAGCTTGATGCACGGATAATATTAGGCTTCCAATAAATATTTTTGATTGAAGAAATGAAGATACATATTTCCTCCTTTTTCATAGAAGAATCATTTGCTCTGGCCCCCTCTCTCTGTCTCACAGAGTGTATCTTTAATATGCCAATTGATTATGTTAGGTAGCCGGAAACAAATATGAAAATAAGAAACAGAAACGTAAGTAAGCCAGCAAGACAAACTCAGGGATAGGGCAGAAAGATCTGGGATGGGAACACAAAGAAAGAAATGAAAACACAGTGGGAAGCTGTAAATTCTAGAGAAAACTCAACCTAGAAAAAAACTACCGGAGGCAACCCACACGTCTAATAAATTTCTGTAAGTGCTTAATGCACATTTCTTGAAAACTACTCTACTAGTGGCATTCCATATATTCTGTTCGAGTCCACCTTTATCTTTGTAATTCCAGGCTAAGTGAGGTGCACTTATTATCATTAACCATTTAACAGAGTCATCTTGCAGCCAGAATTCTAGCCTACGTATGGAAGGAAACATATAGCCTCTTCACTTAGGGAGCACCCCCATTTTCATCGGGGGGGTGTCAGCTATCACTTCTCTTCCAACCCCACAATTTTTCAGTCTGACTTATTTTCCCACTTGCTTCACTGATTAAAGTTTTCAATGTCCCCTTTTAAAGTATGGTTTGTGGTTTAAGGTTTAAGGTTTGTGACCTTATTAAAAAGTAACTGTTCCCTTACACATTAGAGTACATATTTTGTGCTATGTTGCTTTCTAGCTTCTTTTTCAAATCAGAGCAGCATCTTCCTAGCTGAACAAAAAGGACTGCCGGTTTTTGAATTTTTGGTTAACATTTATTACTTGTATATATGAATGAGATTCACTGTGATATTTCAAGATGGGAACTGAACACAGCTAAAGTGTACCTACAAATTCTTATCTCCATGGTTAAGCTCTTGGGGGGAATGTGTGTAGCAATAATATATTGTCTGTCCCAGAAGGATTCCCCTCCCATTGACTAGTAACAATTTCTCCCCCCTCACCTTGTAAATAAGCTTAAGGAAAACTAGGTCATTCCACCAGCATCTTGGGACCAATTCTTCCCTGAAAACATAAGATTTGAGGATTAGCCTGTACTTGGGGTTATGCAAATTATATTCTATTGTGTACTGTTCTAATCCAACCAGAAAAGGAAAAGTGCTTTGACTTTTTGATTACAAGATCAAATCCCCAGCTTTCTCAGAGCCTCCTTGACATCTCGATTTTTGAGGCTGTAGATAAGAGGATTGCACATGGGAGTGACAACAGTATAGAGCAAGGAGAACGTCTTGTTGACAGCTGGCACTTGGCCAGCTAAGGGAACAGCATAGACCAGGATTAATGTTCCATAAAACAGGGTCACTACTACTAGATGAGACGAGCATGTGGAGAATGCCTTTTGCCTACCAGTCTTAGAAGTTATATGCAAGACCACTGAAAGAATCCTCCAGTAGGAGCCTAGAGTTAGTCCAAAGGGAGCCATTGTTACAAGGGCTGTAAGACTCATGCAGACCAGGTTGACCAGATATGGATCTGAGCAGGAGAGCTTCTGCAGAGGTTTCAAGTCACAGAAGAAGTGGTCAATCTCATTGTCACCGCAGAAGGTCAAGCTGGATATCATGGCAGCCTGGGATGCAGCTGCCATTGTGAAGCCACTAAGCCATGATCCAATTACTAACCTTCTACAAAGGGCTTTATGCATTAGTGTTGGATAATGCAAGGGCCGGCAGACAGCCAGGTAGCGGTCATAGGACATTACAGCCAGCAGAAAACATTCAGTGCAGCCCAGGGCCCCAAAGAAGTAGAGTTGGATAATGCAACCCACCATGGAGATCACTCTCTTTTCCCTCAACAAGTCCAGCAGCATCTTGGGCATGACAGTGGACGTATAACACACTTCCAGGCATGACAGGTTCGCCAAAAAGATGTACATTGGAGTCTGGAGTACCTGTTGTGTGATCACCAATGCCACAAGAAGAAGATTTCCTGAAATGGTGGCTAAGTAGATGGCACCAAATACCAGGAAGAGCAAGGGATTCAGCTCCTTGAGGTCTCCAAACCCCAATATGATGAATTCAGTTACCATCATAGTGGTGTTTCCTGGCCCCATAGAAAGCAAAATTCCCAAGGAAGTCTTGGTTTGTCCACAGCAATATACCAGGTCTCTCTACCACTTAGGTTTCTCACAATCCAGTTTATCACGGGTTACAGCTCTGCAATGTTGAGGACATATCCTGGAGTTTGGTCCTCATCATGGCCAATTATATTCACTTTCAGAAAAGTGTTTCTAGAAATCCACAGAACCTGTCACGTGACCAGGGTATGCAGTGAGGAGGATAAGACTAGCTAAGGGAACAATCCAGGGTACAGTCACACTGCCAGCAAGTTCAGACCCCCAAACTCACACAGAGAGACACACGTAGAGCCATGTTTGGAATCTTTTATGCCAATTTGGACTGCAGAAATTTTCAAGGAAACTCTTTACCAAACGTTGACAGTTCTAAGAAATGGCAGGGCAGAGAGCAAGTCACATCTATGCCCCTCTTGCTCACAGCATTGACATCAGGGCTGAACTGATGTGGAGAATCATCCCATCAATGTTCCTGGACTGCCTGTCCTCCTTGGGAGCTTAACTTCTCTGAACATCAGTTTTCTCACCTGGAAACAAGGATAACAAGAGTATCTCCTCACAGGGTTGTTCCAAGGAGAATATGTAAAGTAATTAGAACCGTGCCTAACACATAGTAAGCACTAAATAATCATTAAATATTTTTGCTTACAAAATAAAACCATTTATCAAAACATCCCCACAGAAGCATTAACCAACATTACTAGTTGGTTACGATGCTGAAAAAAGAGAAAGCAATATAAATGCACAAGAGGAAAATTGTACCTTTCTCATAACTTCTTAAGTGTTACCTATCACCACTTAAATGCTTAATTTGAAGATAATTTAAAAGAATATTAATATCTATAGTGTTAGGTAAAGATTAAATGAGATCATTTATATAAAGCACCTACCACACAGAAAGTGCTCACTTAATCATGGCTAATAACAGCACTAACAGCAACGTCCCCGAAGTTATCAAATGAGTCTGTGACAGAGGCGAGACTCACAGCTCCGTGTGATTCCAAACCGGCTCACGCAGGCGGCTACTATTAGCTGTGCTCGTGTATGCGCATGTGCATTCTTTGTCTGTGTGCCTGGGGTTTTCGAATTCCATCGGAAAGGGTTAAAGGCAAACTCTCCACCATGATCGTGTGCCTTTCAGTCAGCCTTCTTCCTACTCTCCCACTTTGTGCTGGCTCCCCACCGCACACAAGCCACACAAGCCGTGGGCATCCACACTGCTTTCTTTGTTCTTTTGGCTCCCATTCCTGTCCAGCTCCTGACCCTTGCTTCGACCTCCTCTTTGAGGGGAACTCAGGCCCTTTATTGGGTGTTCTCAGCTCAGGCTCCCACCTCCTCCTCAAGAACTTTGGCTCCCGCTCACTCTGCTTTCCCCAATATTGAGGCCATCATGAGCCATTTCCTTTGAAAATGCATCCCTACCCCCACTCTGCCACTGGCTTCCCTTCTATCCTGATTCAGTTTTATGTACAGCACCTACCACCCATAGCATGTAACACATTATATTGAATTCTGTCTACTAGTCTGTCTCTATTAATACAGGCTCCATGAGAGCAGGGATGTCCTCTCTTTTATCCACTGCTGAATCCTCAATTCCTAGAACATTGTTTGGCACAGACCAGACGCAATAAATATTTGCTGAGTGATTTAATGAGGCAATGTGACAGAGCGAACAGTGCTCTGCCTCTGGAGTCAAATAGAAGCATGTTCAGTTCATGAGCTGTGCTGCTTACCAGTACATGACCCTGAGCTGTTTAGATACCGTCTATGTGCCTGTGTTTCTTCATGTGTTAAATAAAAATCTTAACAGAGCCTCTCAGTGTCCCCAGATGTCCATTCTATGCTTCCACTGGATCAGGGATTGGCAAGCTTTTCCTTAAAAGCCAGAAAGCAACATTTTAAGTTTTGTAGGCCATCCAGTTCATCAGAGCTATTCAACAGCGCCATTGTGTCTGGAAAGCAGCCTAGGTAATACCTAAATGAATGGGAGTAGCAATGTCACATAAAAGTTAATTTATCAAGAAAAAAAAGTTGTTGGATCCCAAATCATAGTCTGCGGCTCTTGCAGCTGGACACATGGAACGTTGCTGAAGTTCACATGTCCTTTGTGGCTGGGTCGAGCCAATAGGGTGTGAATCGAATGATGTGCATAGGTTTTAGATTGTGAATTTAAAAGAAAATTACATATCATTCTCTTCCTTTCTTAGTCCTTCTCACTGGCTGGAATGCAGACCGGATAGTGGAATGGGGAGCTGCAAATTGGGACCATGAGGTAGAAGCCAGGTATCGGGGAGAGCAGAGCAACAACACAGCCCCAAAACTGCCTGGACTCTCTAGCATGGCATGCCAGAGGGACCCTGAACAGCCTACCCAGCCTTTTCCTACAAAGAAAGACATTTCTAATCTGTCTTTGTTACTGACTATTTTTAGTCTTTTGTTATGACAGCCGAACCCTATCTTAACTAACAAATGATTATAACTACCTCTAGGGTTGTTGTGATTAGTCCACACGATAGAATAAAACACTTATCATAGTGGTTGACATAAAATAAATGGCAGTTTTCATTATGATTTTCTCTGTTGGTGACTTCACTCTTTTTTCCATTCTTTTTCTTCACAGATGGTTTTCAATACAATCATGAGCTGCATAACGATATTTAAGTCAACAGGAGACCACACATATGATGTTGATCCCATAAGATTCTCGCATCTAGCGATGTCATGATCACCTGAGCTGTGTAAGCACATTGTGTGATGTTTACACAATGACAAAGTCACCTAATGGCCCACATCTCAAAACACATGCCTATCATTAAGTGACACTTGGCTTTAGGCTTATCCTAAGCTGATTTCGGTTTTCTCAAGTCCCGATGTTTGGTCAGCGCATGTACCTTTGACATGGATTCAACAACTCGTTTACCCTGTGGACTCACAAACTCCTCACTTACATGAAAAAGGAATTCAAGCAGAATCAACCAGAAATTCAAGCAGAAATCAGAGTTTTGCCTTTTCACAAATAAAATTAAAATGATACATTTGACTGACTTGAATCTTTTTCACAGTCTTATACAAGCTAAATAAGGAATCAGTCTTCAAGCTAGGATATGCATAGTCCCAAATCAAAGTTTCTCAATTAGGGATGATTCCTCCCACACCCACCTGACCTGAGGGACTTTCAGCAATATCTGCAGACATTAGAAGTCCAGGATGCTGCCATATGCTGTACAATGCACAGAATAGCCCCGATAACAAAGAATTATCAGGCCTAACATACAATATGAATAGTGCTATACTGAAAGAATTTTGCCCAAGAGGTGGACAATGACTTCCCAAGGAGGTATACAGACAAGGAGATTTTTAGGAGTATTAATTTCTACTTTACATATGGACTGTTCTGGAAAACTGGTCTGTTTTCCTGAGCTTGAGAAGTCATTCTGGCTCTCCTTTCGTGCCTCTCCTTTCACAATGATCCTCGTCCTACTTTCCAGGAGAAAGGCACCTTGAATCTCACCATGACTTAGGGTTTCTTCTTCTCTCAGGTTCCACAGTCCTGCAGAGCAGAATGGAGGCCAGAGCACAGTACCAGATTTTCATTAGTACTGTGTTGCTTACTACTTGCATAGCATGCTTTTATTTGCTTATTTGTTTTAATACTCTGGAGACTTCTGGGCGCAGTAAGACTTTTGTGTAAAATTCCATTTTACAAACCTATTACTCTTAGGATATATAATAGGATGATCAAGAGCAGATTTTCAAGTATAAAAAATGTTTGACGTTAGAATGAAATTCCATAGGGAACATGAATGAGAATATGAGTTCAAGAAGAGAAGATAATGGTGTTAAATGTCTCCCTGTTTTAGCACTTGTCCATTTATATTTTAATGAGTGACAGTGGATATTAAAATATGATAGCTTTTAGTTAGAATCCATGGAAGTTGTTAAAAGAATGATGCAAGAGTTTCATTTTAAACTGTCAGTATTTACAAGGCTACCAAAAAATACATGTTTACCTCTATTTGAACTCACAATGAAAAATTTCCAGATGTCAATATAAAACTGTGCAAGGGGCAGAAGAGAGTATAAAGTTTAAAGAGCTACATTCCTGCTGAATCCCCTCTGTGTCCTTTCTCACTTGATGAAAAAACAGAAAGAGGAAAAAAACCAGTCACATAGAGATGTGATTAAAATGCAGCAGCGAGTCCCATCGCACAAGACCGGTTTTCTCCGGTCCCCACTCATCCTGCCAGCTAGCTTCCAAGTGTTTTTTTCCCCTCTTGTTCAAGAAGTTCTTCATGCTCCCCCAGCCTTCCTTTCAACCCAATACCTATTTTTTCCCTTTTTATCAAATAATGACTCTCTTAGTCATCACTGCAGGTCTCCTGGACTCTTACAACCTGCTTATGACTCAACCTGCTTTTAGCGAGTGGGCCTCCAGATATAATCCGTGATTATCAGGCAGAACTTTCAAAAACACATTAAAAGAAAAGAAATTTTAAAACAGTGCTATAAGGTTGTCTGCACACACACACTCACTCACACACACAATAGCATCTTAGCTTGTACAGAGCTTGCTGTCCCCATCGAGAGAACTACCGAGAAAATGGACGAGTCAATCAAGTGAATTCATTCTGTTGTTTGTTTTTATGCAGGAAACAGTGAGATCTGCTTCTTTTTCTAATGGCAACCTTTATTGTTTTAGGAAAATCTTGAAAACATTGTATATTCACAGGCCTAGGAGAATAATTGAATGTGCACACCCCCAAAGCATAGGTGCACACAGGAGACGTGGAACTGTCACAGCCATGAGAAGAAGGGGTATACCTGATGTCACCCTCCAGGCCAGAGCTGTACTTTCACATTGAAGTCAGAGCACATAGCCTTGAAATAGAAATGGCAATAAACAAATTTGCTTTCATTCACATTGGTTTGCAGAGCATAGCTGGACACTGGACTCCAGCCTAATAAATGTCTCTTGCTTC